AGACAACTGTCCAAACAGCACAGATTTCAAGATGTGGCATATCCCAGGCTTGAAAGGAAACTGAAAATACAACTAGTGGTGGTATTGATCATCTGTGTTTCTGTGTCCTAAATGCAAATGGAAGAGGAAGAGAAAAGAAGGGCTCAATTTCTGGAAATCTAAGCTATCTTGTAACGTGATCCCAGCATTTGCTAAAGAAACAGATTTACCCACTTGCTCCTGAATGTGTCTCTATCTTGCTTTCCAAGAATATAAGTATTCTTTCACCTGGACAGCTGCCGCTATAAATTTATACATACATTCCACTCTGTTCTTCAGGAGACAAATTAGACCCCTTACAAGTATGGTAGGTCTTAAAAGCAACCATCTGTCATTAATGGAAAAACTGGTAAGATCTGAATAAGGTCTATTTTAACTTATAGGGTTACACCAAAGTTAATTTCTTAGTTTTCATAAATGTACCATAGTTACAGAACATCCTAGCACTAGGGAAAGGTAGGCTGAGCTTTATGGGAGATCTTTGTACTAAGTTAATAATTCTAACTATAAATCCAAAATTATTTCAAAATAAAACATTTTTGTTAAAAAAAAGTAACCAATCTTCAATGTTGTTTCCTTCCAGCTAGTGCTGTCTCCCACATTTCACAGTTAAGGGTCTTGAAAGCACAGTCTTGTCTAGTTGCTATTCCTACCTGACTACTTTCCATTCCCTCTAATTCTACTACCAAACACTTCTGAATTAGCACAAATCAGGATCACCAATTACTTCTTTACAATTTTCATTTCATTATCTTATTTTTAACTTATTACTTTTCTCAATTACAAAAGTATTTTTAAAAACTAATTGTTGGGGGGGAGTCACAGTCAGTATAGGAATATATATATAAGCCTTGAATATATGCTTCAATTTTCTCTATTTGACTCCTCTGCTCCTCCTAAACAAGATATCCATTGCCAATAGTTTGCTGCACATGCTCTCAACTTTTTCCTTATTTTTATACACTATCTTTTTTTTTCTACAAAATCATACTATACTTACTATTCTGCACATAAATGCTTTAATCATTAATGTGCTTTTGATACCTTTCCATGTTACATAAAATCTTAACCATATGATATAATATCATACATATGATATATTATTATGATGGATGTAGATACCATGATTTACTATTTCCCCACTGATGAATATATGATTTCAAACATTTCAGTATTACAAAGAATCCTGCAATAAATATCATTTTACACTTATTTTATTTCACTTGTGTTTCTCAATGATCATTCCTACAAGCAGAACTGCAGGATCAATGGGTATTAAACATATTCAAAATTTTAATAGGCATTGCCTAATAGACTTTATCAATTAAAAAAATCTGCCTACTGTTTAGGTTACAATTTATATCTCACAGTTATTTAAATTTATATCTCATTGGTTATTAGTGAGGTAAAGCAATTTTTTTTCTGTTTATTGTTTCTTCTTTAATCACCTGCTCACACCCTTTTACCTCAACTGCTAATTGCAACGGACACTTTATTTTTATTTGATCTCTCTATAGTATCTGATGTTATTGACCACTCCCCCCTTTAAAAAATTTCCTTCCTTATATGGTTTCTGTGACATCCTTTTATCCTAGATTTCTTCCCATTTTTTTCTAGACATTCTTCAGGTTTTTCTTTTCAAACAGGTTTCTCTTCCTTAGTTCCTCTGTTATATGGTGGAGTCCCTCAAGATTCTGCCTTTTTAGGTCATCCTCTTTAGTCACTTTACATATTTTTCTATAGATGATGTCTTTCACCCACTTAGATGGATGATTCACACCCTATAACTCGAGCCAGATGTCTCTCCTTACCTATCAGTTCTACCTGGAAATCCTAGATATCTTAAACTCATCCTTGTCTAAAGCTGAGGTCTCCCCTCTCCTCCCTTCACTCCTCACTCTTTTCCTGAATTTTCCATCTTGGTGAATGGGACAACTATCTTTTCTGCTGTCAGATGTGCCTGTTCTCTTATGCCTCCACACTGGGCACCTGCTGCTTCCTCTACCACTCCTTTGCCCTCTTTGTTTAGCTAATTCCTAGTCATCCTTCAGGCTCAGTCAGACACCACTTCTTTTGGGATGTCTTCTTTGACATGACATAGTCCAGGTTATGAGTCCTTCCTAATTCTCCCCCAGCACCTTGCATATTTCTTTAATATGGTACTTACCACACTGAGATTCTAAATTCTACTTTCTGGGACTTCCCTGGTGGTCCAGTGGTTGAGAGTTCAACTGCCAATGCAGGGGACACAGATTCGATCCCTGGTCCAAAGATTCCACATGCCGGGGAGCAACAAAGCCTGAAAGCCACAACTACTGAAGTCCATATGCCTAGAGCCTATGCCTTGCAACAAGAGAAGGCGCTGCAATGAGAAGCTTAAGTACTCCAACTAGAGAGTAGCCCCCACGTGCTGCAATTAGAGAAAAGCCTGCACGCTGCAACAAAGATCCAGCGCAGCCAAAAATAAAATAAATAAAGATTTAAAAAAAAAAGAATGCTATCTGATTTTCAAAATAAATAAAATAAATCCTACTTTCCAAACTCTAAGCAGTTCTTTGAAGGCAGGGACCACATCTTGTTCCTCTTAGTGCTTTCAGGACCTGACACATAAAAGATGCTCCATAAATGTTTATCTCCACTTGTGGTATCAACTTTTGTTATCCGACTGTCTTGATTGGACAACCTAGTTCAATCAGGCCTTTAGCCCATCATTGCCAAACAGCACAAAGTGACCAATGATCTTCATGTTGCCAAATCTGATTGTCAATTCTTAGCCTATCTGTGTGTTTGACTCGATAATTTGCCTTTTAAAAACACCTTCTTCACTGGACATCTGGTACTCCATTCTTTTTTTTTTTTTTTTTCACTGCATCTCACGAGCTGCTCCTTTTTAGTCTCCTTTGCTGGTTCTTCCTTCTCTCTCCCACCTTTAAATGGCAAGGTGCCCCTAGCTCAGTACTCAGACCTCTTTTCTAGCTACACTCAATCCCCAGGTGATCTCATTCATTTCTTATCTTTACAAACAACTGATACTTTGATACACACACGTCTCATCTCCAGGCTGGATCTCTTCCAATTTGTACATCCAAGCTCCTATGTGACATCTCTACTTGGAAGTCTTAATAAAGAATTACATCTAACGTGTCCAAAACTGAGCTTCTAACAAATATTTTCCCTTCTCTAAACTTGTTTTTACTGCCACCTTCCTGATCTCAATGGCATTTTTCCTGGTGTTTGGGCCAAAATGCATTGTTGCAATTCTTCCTCTCTACCTTCAGTATAAACCCTGACCACTTCTCATCACCTATATAGGTACTGTGTGCTGTGCTATGCTCAGTCACTTCAGTTGTGTCTGACTCTTTGCAACCCATGAACTGTGGCCCGCCAGGCTCTTCTGTCCTTGGGATTCTCCAGGCAAAAATACTGGAGTGAGTTGCCATGCCCTCCTCCAGGGGATCTTCCTGACTCAGGGACTAAACCCAATCTCTTACGTCTCCTGCACTGCAGGTGGATTCTTTACCCATTGAGCCATGTGGGAAGCCCATATAGCTACTACTCCAGTCCAATATATTATCATCTTTTGCCTAAATTACCGCAATTGTCTTGTAATTGGTCTTCACGGTTCTGCTACTGTTCCTCTAACCTCCTCCTCTTTTTAAAATTTCAGTCAGATCACATTACTCCTTTGCACAAACCCTTCAAAGGCCCCCATTTAATCAGAATTAAGGCCCATATCCTCACAACAACTGGACATGACATTTCTCTTCCTATTCCTCAAATACATTTAGGATGTTCTTGCCTTGAGGTATTTTCATGTGCTCTTCTCTTCTGCCTGAATTATTTTTCTCCCAAGCTCCTGTCCTCAGACCTCTGCTCAAATGTCTCCCTGACCACTACACTCATCCCCCTTACCTGCTTCATTTTGTTTTATACCTGCTACATCTTTATTGTCTGTCTCTCCCACCAGAATATAAATTCCATGGTGGCAGAGATGTAGTCTGCATTAGTGCCTAAAGCAATGCTTACTCTGAAAACTTGCTAAAATGGATGAGTGAAAGGAAAAAAGGAATGAAGAAAAGAGAAAGGGGAAAAGTAACAAGCAAGAGAGAGAGTAGGAAAGAAAAGAAAACCAGTAGTCGAGGGAAATGATGGTAAGGTTTCTTACAGTGCACCAGAAGGGCTCCATTCTCGAATTACAGGAAAATTGTGAAGGACCCAGTCAGCATTGCCCCCTTAGAGAAGACAAAGTGAGAGAGGCATGCTATGCTTTGCGCTCATTTAAATAGGTTAGGTGCTGAAAATTGCCAGGAGGATATTTTCATAATGCCAGACAAATGAATTCTTGCCCAAATATGTGAGGCTTTTCCCCTCATATGAAGAAATCAAGTAAGATTTCAAAAGAAATACACTTACCCAGCCCAACTGGAAGTTAGCCAGCGGGAAAGTACAAATGTACAAATGGGTATGAGCTGGTTCTGAGGTTTTCGCCTTTGGTGGATCCCGCTGCTAAGAAATTTGCTAACTAGACTGGGTCAAGAAGTTTGCTTTAAAAAAAGAACCCAGGGGAATGACAACAGCTGCACAGCTGCTACCATTTAAATGCAGAGAGACGTTCTGGTTGTTTGATTTGGAAAAAAAAGAAATGGCCTAGGAAGCCCCGTCTCCTGATTTGAGCAGAAGCAGTAAGCCATTTTATACCCACAAGCAAAGTATTTGGCCTTCTGTCTTTCAGTCAACTCGGAAAGAAAAAGTGGCTCAAAGGAGAACCTCAGGGAAAAAAATAAGATTCTTTGCACCTGAGCCAAGTTCTCCTGAGCAAATGGTTCACCAATGAGACCAGCTGGCACAAAGGCCCAGCTCAGCTGACACAGAACCCAGGGTCCCGCAGAGGCTGCAGGTGGCTGGGCCACATGAGCTGTGACCATGAAGTTCCATATGTCCCAGGGCTTCCAGATACTTACACTTCTCTTCTTGTCCATGTTTGCTTCTTCCGCTGCTTTCTGGTACCTTAGAGAAGAGAGGGGGAGAAGAGAATGTCCTCAAATTAAACTTAAATTTTTACACTTTCAAACTTCAAGAAAACCACTTCTGCACACCTATCTCTGCCAAGGATTATCACCAGTCACCTCTATCACAAGCAGAGAATCAGGGCAGCCCTCACTACTGGCACCGTTGCAGTCAACTGCTCTAAGAGAAAGGGCCAAGACAATGAGTTTGAACGCTGGGAAAATGGAGACAGCAGAAAGCCTGGGGTTTTTAAGTGTCAGTTTCATCACTTACTGTGATCTGGGGCAAGTCAACCTCTTTCCATACCCAGAAAACAATCTACCATAATGCTGGGAAGAATAAATGATGTATAAAAATGTATAAAAAGCCATGTATGTAAATGCTTTGGAATTAGTCAAAGGATACAGTATTACATTAACTCTAGGTTGCACTTTCCCCACTCATTAATGCCTCTAAAATCTTACAATTCTTGTCGGCCAAATGATCGAGAAGTAGTCATATGTCCTGTACCTGTGTAAGTTTAGCCTAAGCTATTGGTACCGTCACTTTTGCTCACTTAATATGTTTGAAGGTATTATACATGCTTTAAATGCCACTGAAATGTCTTTAATGAGAATACACTTCGATTTGCCGTTTAAAGAAAAATTGTTTTCCTTTTTTAAATTTATGTGTAAGAGAGATTTGTGAGAAAAGCATCTATGCTAAGCAAGCATTAGTCCTTTTAATTAACAGTATTTTTTCTTTAGTGATGCATAAAATAATGGCCCAGCCTATAGTCGATGGCATCTTAGAGTTGATAAACAGGCTTCTGTAATTTTATTCCTTTAATTTTATTATTACTTTCAATCATTTTATTTTATCATTTTTACTATTTGCTCAGAAGATTCATGAGGAACAACTGAAGTCCCAGGGCTTTTCAGAGGTGATCAGGTTTCCTCCATTTGAAGGCAAAAAAGGCTTGGGACGTCCGGGCCACAGCAAATCTCCAGACCACCCAGAACTGTCTTAACCGGGCTTCCTCAGAGCCTCTGAGTCAGACACTGAGGCAGCACTATCGCTAGAAGAATCCCCACCATGTGGGGCCTGCATGCCTGGAACTTACTGATTTGATTTCTTGGGCCTGCAGGCCTTGAACTCACCAACCTAACCCCCAACCCTAGAAAAGGGCTTGGTCAATGGGTCACTTGTTCCTGCCTTAGGACAGACTTTCAGAATTTACAAGGCATTTGAGCAAGGAAAAGGAGATGAGACAAGAAGATAAAGAACAATATGGGAAAGGGTCCATTCCCTAACCAAAACTAACTTTCAACTCATAAATACCTTCACAAGCTCAGAACTTCCTTAGTGTGTGTGTTAAATAGAACAACCCAACCCAAAATGGAAGCCAAAGGAAACTCCTAGATTTAATATCATTGCTTTCCTACTACGTAACCTGGGTTATATAACTTGTTTGGGCCTCATCCACAAAATTAAGTGATCGTGAGAGGATTTCTAAGGTCTCCTCCAGTTCCTACTACCACTTAAAGTTTAACAATCAGGAAGCAGTGTCTCATGGAAAAGGTAATGGCACCCCACTCCAGTACTCTTGCCTGGAAAATCCCATGGACAGAGGAGCCTGGTGGGCTGCAGTCCATGGGGTCATGAATGGGGTCGCGAAGAGTCGGACACGACTTAGCGACTTCACTTTCACTTTTCACTTTCATGCATTGGAGAAGGAAATGGCACCCCACTCCAGTACTCTTGCCTGGAAAATCCCATGGATGGAGGAGCCTTGATGGGCTGCCATCTATGGGGTCGCACAGAGTCGGACACGACTGATGGGACTTAGCAGCAGCAGCAGCAACAGTGTCTCATTCACTAGACTGAGTAATACTCTCAAACTGAGTGGAATTTTCTTAAAGGGTAGGGTGAAAGAACTTCCAAAAACAATTGGGATTTCACTGACCACAGCTTATGAAAAAAAAAAAAAAATGGGATTAGAACTGCTGTAAGTCAAATAACAAGCAAGAGAGATATTTGAAACATATTATAGACAAAAGGCTAATTTTCCTAAAACACAAAGAACTCTTACAAATCAGTAAGAAATCAACAAAAGCAACTTAATAGAAAAATGGGCATAAACATAAACACAGAGTTCACAGAAAATATCAAGTGACTCAAACAAAAAATAAGAATGTTTAGCCTCAAAATAAAAATTCAAACAGCACTAAGAACATATATAAGTAGGAAAAAACATTTTTTAAGGAAAAAAAAGCTAATACACTGAGGGTAAATAAATGAAACCTCTAGGGAAGGCATTTTGTCAATTTTACAAAAATTACAAAAGCATAAATGTTACAATTTGCCAATTCTGTTTCCAGAATTTATCTTATAGGTACACTAACATAAGCAAAAATAACTTTTACATTAGATTTGTCACTGCACTAAATGTAATAGCAAATGACTGAAAACAACCTGAATGTCCATTAGCACAGGACCAGTAAATAAATTATAATGTATTCATGCAATGGAATACTACACAGCTATAAAAAGAACAAAAGCATGGTTGCACAATGTGAATGGACTAAATGCCACTGAAATGTCATACTTAAAATGGTTAAAATGGTAAATTGTATGTTATGTATATATTACCAAAATTTTTTTTAAAATTGAGTATGGTAATGGCATAAAGACAGACATATAGATCAATGGAGTGGAATAGAGAGCCCAGAAATAAAACCTCACATATATGGTCAAAGGATTTTGACAAGGGTGCCTAGACCATCTAACAGGGAAAAGACAGTTTTTTCAATAAGGCAAACCATGAAATGCCAGAAAATATTTGAAAATTATATATCTGACAAGAGATTAACATCTAAAATATATAAAATTTAAAATAATACTGTATTTGCAACATATTTGTAACAAATAATATTATACATACTATACTGCATCTACTTTTCTCCATTTTAGAACAGCTTGAGTTTTCATTCAAGAAGTAGTGAAAGTGTTAGCCACTCAGTCTTTTTGACCCCATGGACTGTAGTCCACCAGGCTCCTCTGTCCATGGGCTTTTCCCAGGCAAGAATACTGGAGTGGGTTGCCATTCCCTTCTCCAGGGGATTTTCCTGACCCAGGAATTGAACCTGGGTCTCCTGCATTGCAGGCAGATTCTTTGCCATCTGAGCCACCAGGGACCCTTGTGGCCAAGTGGTTAGGACTTGGTGCTTTCACTGCCATAGCCTTGGTTCAATCCCTGACTGGGAAACTAAGATGCCACAAGCCTCCACAGGCCAAGTGGCACCGGCAAAAAAATTTTTTAAAAAGTATGTTCTAGGCACTAGAGAAAAGGTAGTGAAAGAAATAATTTAAAAAAGGCATACTTTCTGCTCTCAGACAGCTTATAGTTTAAATGTTAAGCACATACTATAGTGATAAATCTTTCAAAGAAGGGCAGGGTATTATTATACAACCTAACAAAGGAACTGAATTGAGAAGGCGGGTGTGGGGTGGTGTGGGGTGGGGTGGTGTGGGGTGTGTGTGTGTCTGTGTCTGTGTGTGTGTGTGTGTGTGTGTGTGAAGAAAAGCCTTGCTGAGGAAATGACCTTTAGGCTGAAATCTGCAGTTTGATCAGGAGTCAGCCAGGCAAAACAAAGCAAGAAAAGCATTCCAGGCATAGAAAAAGAGCACACACAAAGTCCCCAAGGCAAGACAGTGTCTCCCATGTATAAGATACACAAAGAACTCCAATGTTGCTGAAGCACATTGAGAAAGGCAGAGGTCAGGAGATGATGCCTGGCATCAAGGGCTTTGCAGGCTATGCTAAGAATTCTGAATGTAATCTTAGGTACAATGAATGAATGGTCAATGGTACAATGAATGGTCATTAATCCAAGCTATGTTTTTATTTTTTGGCTATGCTGAGTAGCACGTGGGATCTTAGCTCCCCAGAGAGTGCAAGAGTCTTAACAACCTCTGAACAACTGAGAGAGTCCCCAAGCTATGTTTTTAAAAGAGCACTGGATGCTGTGTGGAGAATGGACCGGAGTCGGGGTACAGGATGGAGGTGGCAATAGTGACAGATGATGCTGGAAGGTCCAGGGAGGGAGCACTGGAGATAAAGTGAACAGACTTGAGGTATATTTCAGAAGTCGAATCAACAGGACTGGTAATGAGGAAGAAGTCAAGAATGATTCCCAAGTTTTCAACAGCTGAGTCAATGGATGGAGGAGCAAAGTTGGGGACGGGGAAGATGAAGAGTTGTACGTTAGCCATGCTAACCAAAACATCCCCTTGGTGGTGACAGTGATTAGACACATGTTCTAGAGCTGGAAAGAGAGATCTGAATGAACAATATAAATTTAGGACTTGTCTGTCCACAGATGGTATGAAAGCTGTGTAAGTGTATGATATCATCTATGAAGAATGTGCAATGAAGAAAAGGCTCAGAACTCAGTCCTGGAGACGCTAACAATTAGCAGTCAGAACATGAAGAAGAGGTTCTCATTCTCTATTAGAGAACAGAGAAGGAACAGAGGTAGGAGGAAAACAAGAGACTTCCAAAGAAGCTAAGGGAAGAAAACATGTGGGAAAAAGAGGCAAGAGGTCATCTAAGATGAAGGCTAACAAACATCTCCTCAATATGTTTTAGATAGTTTTTCTAAGCAACACAGAAGTCTTTGGTAACCCTGGCAATCCTCTTCCATTATAATTTATTAACCCATAGTCCTTTTAATGCACATTTGGATTGTTTACAGTTATCTATCATTACAAATAGTGCTTTGGTGAATGGCCCTGTGTATTTTTTTTTCCCCACTTGTACTAAAGTATCTGAAAGTGAAAAGCAAAATGTATCTGAGAGTCCCTAAAAATAGAAATGCAGAAACACAGCAGATTAGAGTTAGAAAGGAACTTAAAGTTGGCCTTGAACTTGTGTTTCCACCCTCCTTGGGTAATAATCTACAGTATATTACAGCAATATAGTACAATATATGAAAGCCAGAGCCCAATCACCAGACAGG